CCTTTGCACATGGGAGGAAAGTGAAGCCCAAAGAGGTGAAACGAGCTCCTCAAAGCCGAACAGCTTGTAAATACAGCTCATTCTAGCAACTCATTTCTTTGCCCCAAATTAAGCGTTTTTGAAGCCATATTTACCAGCTTCTCTCAAACTGTGGGAATATTGTCTGCAGATTTTATTGGTTTTTAAAAGCCCTTCACATACATAAAGCCAGAAAGCCGATCCTGATTTTCAGCAAAAAATATCATCAAGTGATCCCAACAATTTAAAATATACATACGTCGAGATGGCAGCGTAGGTAAGTATCGCCTCCTCCCATAGCCACATCAAAATTACAGCTCACCTAGCACACAGCCATCATTCAGAACTGCCTGACATCGAGCTGGATGGAAGTCCTACAACTACGGAATTAAAGCGGCCACACCGAAACTGGAGAGAGCAACTCGGAAGGAAAACCAAACTCGCTCAGAGATCTGGAGGATGCCACTGTGAGGCAAGACCCTTGAGGTCCTTTGAGAAGAGAAATCAACCAGGAACAGAACCCAGCAGAACCTTGTGAGAACCAGTTTCCCCTGGGAAGGCTCTGGGTCTCTGGGACATACCAGATTTCCAGAAGATAATCGATGGCCAAGAGGGGCTGTTTTTAAGGTGGTAGCAGCCGGCACTGTCCATAAAAGCTTCAGACTGAGCAAGGCAAGGTACCTGAGCATGGATAACAGAGCTAAGGAGAACCAAAAATCACAGCCCGATAAAATCTTGACCTTCCCCATCTCAGGCCACAGTGACAGGGAGGAAGAAAGGAATTAAGGACAAAAGAGAAAGCATCTGAAGGGTGTTTATGTGAGAGCAGAGGACAGAAATGTAGAAAAAGAAAAAGGTGAAAATTTCTGTGAACTTCAGAGACAGGTGAAAATGAATTTTTTTGTGTATCCCAGTTTACGTATTAAGAGAATCCCGGCTTCAGTTATAATTTTCTGCATCATGAAAAACATTTATATCTGAACATGGACTTCATTGCTTTGTTTGGGCCACAGTTTCCATTCCCAAACTGTTTCATAAATTCAGTTCAATAATAATGTGAACATTAAAATAAATAAATAAAATAAAATATACATAAGTTCTGCTATGGAAGCTAAGACATAGTGCCAATCTATTTTTTTTTTGTATATGCCCCTAGCAGAAACCCAACCCGGGACTCTGGTCCGCAGGCCGATGCTCCAACTGCTGAACCAAACAGGCCAGGGAACTTTTTTTTTTTTGATAAGCTTCATCCAAGGATATTTTTTCCACTGATCTTCAGAGAGAGTGGAAGGGAGGCATGGAAGGAGGGGAGAGGGAGGGAGGAAGGGAGAGAGGAAGATAGAGAGAAGGGGAGAGAGAAGGGGGGGAGAGAGAGAGAGAGAGAGAGAGAGAGAGAAACATCAATGTGAGAGAGACACATCAATTGGTTGCCCCTTGCAGGGATGTGCTCTTAACTGGGGATTGAACTTGAGACCCTTCAGTGCATGGGCCGACGCTCTAACCACTGGCCAGGGCTCTACTTTTGTGTAGGCCCTACACAAACAGTAATTATTTGTTAAAAGCCTAGCTTTACAAATAGGAGCAAGGCCAGAGCTCACTGGAGAATAATCATTTTACCTTTAGGTCTTATTTTTGCACCTAAACCTCCTGACAGTGTTTTGCTTAATCCACCCAAGTGCAATAAAAACCAATCTGTTCTCTATCCACCTTCACTTTGTGCTATTAAATTCTCAGGTGATGGGGCTGTAAGCAAAACATCGTAATTATGACTCCCTTCTACAACTTGTGTCTCCACCTGAAGGATCAAATCTGGGAATACCCAAATCCATGGTCCCTTTAATGTGAACTGTCCTTTCACTTTTCTGGTATAAAGCTAGGTTTCTCTTTATCTTTGCCCTACCAAGCACTTGGCCTGGGTAAATGCAAACCTCCAAAGAACAGACTCAAAGTTTGTCCAGTGGCCTGGTTCAGCAGAGGAAGAAATAGAGATGCCATCTGGCTGGAGGGGTTAGTAGAGAAGGGATCTGTGGGCTGTCTCACTGCCTGCCTGCCTCACCCACTTTTTCTCTTTCTCCTCACAACAAGCTTCTCTAGTCTCTGACCTCAGGGACCCTCACAAGGCAAGAGCCAGAGGTCCCAATAACTTAAGAGATAGACTTGAAGAGTGTTTAAGCGCCCATGTTATAGTCCAACCTTACCATCTACTATCTGTGTAACCTTGGGCAAGTTACTCAACCTCTCTCTTTCTCAGGTCCCTCAACTGTAAACCACGGACAGCATCTTCCTCTTGAGAGGAAATAAAGAAGATTAATTAAATTGATCTTCCAATTAAATAACAATTGATTGATTAATAATGTATTTATTTAGTGCATGTAAAACACTATACAGTGCCTGGCACATAGTTCTATACAGGTGTGAGATTTGTCATTCTACTCCTCATTTGTCTCCTGCCTTTACCCTTTTGGCTAGGAAAGACTATTGTCACCTCCTAGCTTCAGGAACAATTGTGAATAAAAGCAGAGCACCTTACAGGATAGCAGCTCAGTGGTGTCATGATGGCAATCAAGTGTCAAATGGGGACAATATCAGTTATACCATCAGATAAGCATTTGGGGAATGATTATATAAAGTAATGTACATAACACACCTGGCATACGATGACTGCCCACTAAGTGTTGTTATTTTTATTAGGGTCTTTTCATTTCAAGCATCAACAATTGTGAGTGTAGATGCTACTTGCATGCTTTGTCACTGTGTCAGGCTATAGCCTGTGGGATTCATCTGTGTTGATCACTGTGACATAAATATATTGAGAATGGTGTTCATATAGAAATGTGTTTTAGAAGCCAAGGCAAGCTTCACAGAGACAGCCCCACAGCCCTCCCTATCAGAGTTCTTTGAAGGTTCTGATAGACAACTGTCCACATGGCACACATCTTTATTGACACAGGGGCATCTCCTGCTCAGCAAGTCTGGGACCGAACTCATGAGCTTTCTCTCAAGACTGGTCCTGCCCTGGTTGCTGTGCCAGTCATCTTAATCCCTCCACTTCTACAGATTCTTCACTCAAAGCCTGTAGATTTCATGTCCTCTATAGCTCCCTACTCCATTCCCTTCTCCATTCCTGGTCCATGCCCCCATGGTATCTGGTCCTTCACATCCACATGAGCTACACAGCACTTGTTTTGAAACTTAGTTCAAATCATGTCACTCCTTGGCTTGAAACCCTTCAGTGGCTTCAGAGAAAGACTGTAGTCCTCCTGTATGCCACAGTCACATCCTACCTGCAGGAACCTGAGGTTTTGGGGTCTGACTCTGTAGATCCCCCTGCCACACCTCAAACAACACTCTCTTGTTTTTTGCTCCATGGAAACTTCCTTTCAATTCCTCAAATACACATGCTCCTCTTGCTTCAGGGCCTTTGCACTTGCTGTTTCTTCTTCTCAACAGTTCTCCTCATTAGTCAATGAATCCCTACATATCCTCCAGGTCTCAGTACACGTGTCTGAATACATTCCCTGACCATCCACCTCCCCAGCTCCTTATAAATGTCTTCTGTCAGATACTTTCTTAAAACACTGCTGCTCTCCTTCATGGAACACACATAAATAAATTTGTAATTATGCATTCCTCTGTGCAATGATCGGCTTAGGTCTGTCTCTCTCACTATAAACTCTAAGAAGGCAGAGCTTTTGTCTATGTTATTCTAAGTGTAGCTCCAGTACCTGGGACAGCGGTTGGTGTGTAGTAGGTATTCAATGAACATGTTTTGCAGGTATTAAAAACAAACAAACAAACAAACAAAAAGCCAAGGCACACTTCCATGTTCCCAGAGATCTAGAGACAAAAGAGAAGGTGTGAGTCATATTTAAGGTGTAACAGCCTCAGAGTTGAAAAGAGGCACTATCTCTTCACTCTTCAATAGCCAGTCAATTCATAAGACATTTACTTAATGAACAAGTGGGTTTCCTCTTTTTCAGTCTGGAGAAAAGGAAAAAAATAAAGCACCCGTTAACAACACCGAACACTAAACACACACACACACACACACCAAAAAAGGAATTTCAACCCCAATCCACACAGAGGTGTGTCCAAGCCAGAATTAGCCTTCAGATGAGATCAGGGAAATGCTGAAGAGCATTCTTGTCAAAACCGGACACTAGCTTTCAACTTATCCTGCTCCCATCTGATCTCAGGAGGAGCCTTAGCATCTGTATGCTAATTGCAGACACAGTGGCCCCTGCTAGGCACACACACATCTGACTTAGTCGCTTTGGTGGAGGAAACATTGCCCAACATTCTCAAGAGCTTGTAAATGACACTACTGCTTGGGCTGCCTCCTCCCCAGGCCTTTCCAGCCCCACCCTGTTGACAACCCCCCACCCCCCTTCCTTCTACTCAGATGGGAACCAAACTAGCTGCCTGCTTTGGTAATAAGATTGAGGGAAGACTCAGAAGGCCCCCTGGGCTCCATTACTGCCTACACCCTGGAAGAAGGGCCACCTCCAGGGACTGTTGCGGCAGATTGGAGCTCCACTTGCTGCCAGGAAACCTTTCCCACTGAGGACACCCTGGGCAGGCGTGCAGCCCCAGGTCCAGGGGGAAGCACCCCACCCATCTGCCAGAGAGACAAAGATCACCAGAAACAAAGGACACACACATATACACACATATACAGACACGCACACCCCAAGTCAAAAGCAAACACCGACACTTGGTGCAATTTCAAGCCAAACAGCCGGCTGGGTGTATCTTTAAATAGATTTTGAAACAATCCGGGAGGGACAACGACTATATGATAATGATAGACATTATCTGGGGTTGGAACCCACGCTGCCTCCGCCCGCCTCCCACCCGTGCTGCAGTTTCCAGGCGCATTTTTCTGCCTCAGGACACTCTGCCAGAGTGCTTCCACTCGCGGAAGCGAGCACACGCAGGAGGTGCAGGCAGGGCGAGGGCGGCCAGAAGTAGGAAATACCAACCTTTAGGATCCCAGTTCACCTGTTTTCTTGGAGTCTCAATTGGAAATTTCATTGCTCCGTTGCCCAGATGGGGAGGAAATGAAAAGAATCAAAATGATAAAGTCCTCAAGCTTTAAAGGCCTCGGCACAGCGGTCCAACAAAACAATTTCCAAGAATGGGGGAGCCCTGGATTGGCTCGTGGAAGAACCCCAGAGAAAGACAAGTGGAAAATACTGGCTTGGGAGAGAACTGGAGACGGCTTGGGTGTTTGCACCGGTTGAAGAGTGGCTGGCAGCAACCCCCTGGCTAAAAGGAAAAGTAAGATCCACGAGGGGAGGATGAAGAAGGAGCCTCGGGAAGATGCAAGAACCCAGCTTGCCAAGTGCGGTGCCGGCAGGTTGGGGTCTAGCAGCCGCAGGGCCTGCGGAGGGAGAAGCCCACTGCAGTCACTCCAGCCCCCGAAGGCGTGTGCACACCCTCCCGCACACACACACTCGCACACACTCGCCCGGGCGCGCGCTCCAGCGGGCACGTCAGCCTGGCTCCGTGGTGCAGAGCGCACACGCCCCACCCCAGCAGTGGCTCTTCGCCCGCAGGCGACGCCCCCCACTCTCCACCCTTGAAAGCCATTGGATGTAGGGGTGGCGCGGCACTCGGGGAGCTCGCTGCGAGGGCGACCCTCCCGCTTTGCGCTTTGCACTGCAGAAGCCGCGCCAACACAGGAGGGCTCCAGGCGGGTGGAGATGCCTGGCCAGGGCTCTGCCCCCGGCGCCTGACCTGAGGCAGCAGCGGCTGCGGACTTGCCCGTTGCGGTGGCAGGCGGCGGGAAGCGGCGGGCCTGGCAGCCGCGGTGAGGCGGGGCGCAGGCGGCAGGCGCACCGCTACTTACTGGCTCCGCAGGCTGGGTGGAGGCGGCCGCGGCTCTCGGTGGAGTTGCAGCCGGAGACACGCTTGGCTGCCAGGAAGGCGCTGCAGGAGGCGGAGGAAGAGCCGCGGTGGCCCTACCGCAGGACTCTGCTTCGGGGTCACCTCTTGTCTTCGCTCCCACCCTGGGCGCACCTCCCTTCTTTTCTCACTTCATTTTTCACTCCAGTCCCCTCCCGCGCCAGGTTCTCCCGCCTGCGCCCCGAACCTACATCTCCAGCGCACTCGGAGGAGACTGGAGCCAGCCATGAGCCTTTTGTTCTGGGACCGTTCAGCATCAGCCTTGCTCTCCTGCCTGGGGAAGCTCGCTCCCCAGGCACAGCCCGGTCCCTTCCCCAGCTACGTGCAGTCGGCGGAGGCCGCTGTTCCGAGGCCCGGGAGGAAGCTGGAGACAGGCGCAGCGGCCCCAGAGGAACGCGGAGTTGCCAAGACCTGGCAGCTCCTGGAAGCAGCGGCCCCGGGAGTCCCAGGGCCCAGCAGGTACAGGTGCGCAGGGACTCCAGACAAGCTCTGGGAAAGAGGCTAAACCTGCCACATCCCCCTCCCCCCACTCTCACTAACCCCCGCCCGAAGCTGCATAAGGGCTTGCGGTGGGACCTCTGTCTACAGAAGAACTAGTGGGCTGAGATGGTCCTGAATGGGCCACTGGAAGTTCCAATATGAACAATGTTTAGAAATTACTTCGGGTGCCTAGCAACGGAGCCTTGCACATAGTACATGCTCAAGAAACACTTGCTAAATGAAGGCATGAATTGCATAAAGTAGAGTTGGAGAGGGAGCCGTTTAAGTTACTGTCCATTCCATATATATCTTGAACCCCTTCTGTGTGCCATCACTGCACTAGGTGCTGGCAATATGGCAAAGAACAAGATAGGCAGGGACCTTGCCTTGGTGGAGCTTAGTGTCTACTGCCATAAGGTAGGGTTAGATTGTCATTGCCTTCACTTATGAAAGAGAAGGTGACTGTCCAGCGCATTCCTGAGCCTGCCCTTTGTGGCCCTTATCCCCTATCCTGGGAGTTGCTCTTTGAACTGTATGCCATGATAGGGCACCTTGAGGTTTCCGATGAGCCTTGGCAGCAGCATCTTCTTCCTCATCTATTCTCCACTGTCACATCCAGGTGTCTGAGTTCCAGGGCAAGATCCACAGAGGTCCACTGTCATCTATGGGGAGGGTTGGTAAGTGCTTTGTCACTGACCTTACAAACTGTCATGGCCAGAGCTCAGTGTTCTCTGCAAACCCTGTACAGCGAAAAACTGGTACCAATCTGGCAATGCCACCAGAGTCCTCAGCCCTTTGGGCAGGCTCGGGTCCCCCAGACACTTCAGAGCCACTTTCTCTGGGGCTCTTTTCCACACTTCGCTTCCCTCTACTAGAAGGCTGAGAGGATGGATGAGACATGGAAATGAGACAAACAAGGACTTTCTGCGTCTCCAGTCATGCCACCAGACACATGAATATGTACATAAATTTGCTCCCAAACCCAAAGGGAACTGCTTGTATGCTCCCCAGAAAGCCTCCAGAGCCCCCCTCCCTCTCCTTAATGCTCATGGGCAGGAGGGCTCCAGCCCAGCCACTGCAATGCCATGTTTTTACCTGCATCTGAGTCAGAGAGGTGTCCAGAGAAAGATACGCCTCTTCTGATTCCTCTCAGGATGGGGATATAAGACTAACATTTATCAAATGCCTCACCTCACACTTCTCTCCATTCATCCTCCCTACATCTTTCCTCTGAGGAAGCTCTAACTGGTCCCATTTTACAGGTGAGAAGATCAAAGCTCAGAGTGATAAAGGAACATGCCTAAGGCCACAACATGGAGACTCAAACCCAAGAGAGCTCCTCTGGTCCCTGACCAATGAATTTTATCCTGAAGCTGTCTCATGGGTTCTTTTATCGAAGTTTCCAGTCCCTCCATTTCAAAATGAGTTAGATTAACCTTGTACCCTAGGGTCTACATCAAGGAATTAGCTCACTGTCCAAGGCACATTCCTGAGGCACAAAATACAGCCTTACATACATCATTCAGCCAATCAACAAACATTTATTGAGCATCCTATGTGTACAAGACAGTTTGCAGTTTTTCTTAAAAGTTATAGTGCAACCAGGAGAACCTTCCCCAGGAAAGAATCAGCAGGACAATTCTTTGGAGGGTTAGGAGGTTTGGGATAGGGTGAGGGAGCAGGGTCAGGGCTGTGCAAGTCCTCTTGTGGGTTAAAGACTAGCACTAGTCATGAGCCCCTAAGATCCTCTCTGCTAGATCCCTAGGTGCCTCCCACCACCACCACCTATAATCTCTGGAGCCTTTTCTCACCTCCACTTTCATTCTGCTTTCTCAGGATGTAGACAAAGACAAGTTTGTGTGTGTGTGTGTGAAAAGTTCAACAACAAAAAAATCAACCAATTAATTAATTAACCCCAGTACCCCCTCCCCTAACTGGCCCAAATCAAATCCAGCTCCTACCCTGGGTGGTATTTGGAAGGGACTGCTGGGGTCGGGGTAGGGGGTAAGGGGAAAAGCCCCCGCCCAAGGAGAACAACTTAGCACATTAACTCTATGCTACAGCCATCCCCTTCCACCAGCTTCCATTCTACACCTTCGTGATTGCGAACTAGAGTCCACTTACCCCAAGAAGGAGGGAAGCAGTGGTCTTTGTAGAGAAAAAGCATTGAAAAAGGATGCCGCGCCGAGCGGGTCCCTCTCTGTCCGTGCTGCCACAACTTCCATGGCTACTGCTGAGGCCAGGCTAAGCCTGGTGGGAAGGGACCGCCTGGGATTCCTGCGGCAGGAAAACAAAGCATCCTGGCGCAAAGTCGCCCGGCTCTGGCCAGAGGTGGCGTCCCCTGCGCATTCGTGGGACGTAGGTCTTTGCTGGGGAGGCGTGGCTGCAGGTCGCTGGGTCTCTGCAGCTCAGAACCTGCAATCCTTGCGGCACGACTGGCATGAAAGCCGCCGGGCGCGGGAGGACGGGGGGAGCGCAGAGACCCCCGTCATCTCCCACGAGGAAGTTTCCCGAGAGTTGTCTCTCTCAGCCGCTCCCAGGGGCGCAACCCTGGACGGGTGTGAGAGCAGAGGGGAACTGACTGCCACGTGGGGGGTCTCGAGGGGCTGGCAATGCAGAGCTCAACCCCAGAATTGCTGAACACGGATTCCGGGGTGCGGCAGGAGAGCGAATCGCAAGGAGAGATCAGGCAGCTCGGGGAATCCTGCTTAGTGCTGGCGTGGCACCCGAAGGAGGAGGGGAACAGATCTGACGAGAGTCGACTTTAACTCACGAATATTAGATGAATTCATTTATCTGTCTTGGGTTGTTTCCTTTTGAGGTCCAGAAGAAATCCCAATCTTCCAAGACCCCCCAATTCCCCAAACACCTCCAATACCTCTTCCCCAAAGAACCGTTATTTTGTGACGATAAACCCATGCACACACCCACACCCAGCGTATAGCCACTCCAGCCAGAAAACTGACAGGGTCATTACGCATTCAAGTTAACTTCAACTTCTACCAGAATTGTTTTATTTCCCAGAGAAGTTTCCACTTTGTTCTCAGCATTTAAACACTCCTGCATTTGTTTTCATGTCTCAACCAGCATCTGCAAAAACACACCTTTAAATATATGTTGCTTTAATCTTGGGCTCTGCTTTTGGCTGGGTGAAGCTGCAGGCACAATAGAGCAGAGGGTGTCAAATGTCATACTGCTCAACAACACAGTCCCTGTGCCTAAATCCTGCAGCTTTATTTCTGTGACTCAAGCCTCTGATTGGGGGTTAACGAAGACAACACACTATGAACTCCAACAAAATTGTAATCAAAGCATCGATTGATGAACATGTCTCATAACCAGGAACTGGATCCTCTCCCTTTGTGAGTTTCTTTGTTTTACATTTTTGTCCTAAAGAAAATATAATTTAAAGGCCCAAGCACCGTGTCCAGCATTTTACCAAAATATACTGAGCTTCTTATAAAAAAAAGTTTCAAGGCGTTTCCTTCTCTCTGAGTTATCACCAAAACATAATCCCAGGTAATTTTTTTTTTTTGAGAACTGGAGCTGGAATTGTTTTGGTTTTCCCCTCGATTTTTTATTTTGAAAAAATTTTCAAACACACAGAGAAGTTGTGCTCCTTTAGTAAAAAACAGGATACAAACAAGGATTGCACTTGTTGTCCCACATATTTAGTGTATTTTATTCTAGAAAACTTTATCTTTGTTTAAGTGACACCAATTCTTTTGAGTCCAAATTCACTTGCTTTCTGGTAATTTTAATATCATGATGTAGCTAAAAGTCAACTGAGTCAAAGGGGAAAAAACAAGACACAATTTCCTGACTGTAGCAGGTCATTCAAATTACTCAGCACCTTCTATAAGCATGTCTACGCCAATATCCATGAAATGGAAGGCAGTTATTTGTATTCATGCTCACTCACACTCCTCCCTGGACTCAGTCCTAGCCTTAGTCAAAGTACTTATCTTTGTTTCTTATCCCTCAAAAGGCCGTGTTTCAGGGATGGATGAGCATTTTCACACATACACATCAAGTTGACAGGCACATATGGTATTTTACTGAATTTAAAAACAAGAA